TTTTTTAGGTGGGTTTTTTTTTTGTTTGTTTGTTTCATTTCTGCCTTTTTTTCTTTTTTTTTTTCCCTTTTCTCCTCCCTGTAAAGATATTTTCAGGAGAAGTTCAGGAAAGTAAAATTTTGAGCTAGAGTCTGATTTAAAATATGCGGGCTGTGCTGCTTCTTCTGACCTGCAAGTGCCTTAATGTCCACTCAGACATTCTGGAGTTCACTCACTTAATACAGTGAGCTACCAAGCCCTGCTTAGCACTCTATGCTTCTGAGTCAGAAATAACAGAAGTCACTCATGTACTCACTGTGATGTGACTGCAAAATCAGAGCTCTGTGAATCTAAAAGCAATCGGGAGAGCCACTTGATCTTTCAAGGAGTGGTGTAAACCATCTCCCAACAACCCTGGTTCTCTCAGGAAGATAAACAAAAGGACCAGGGTCGGCTGCATGTGGGTGTAATACAACAAGAGAGCTAAGGAATGGGAATGAGGGAAATATTCAGATTTACTCAGTACAAGGTTTTGGGAAGGAAACTGATGACAGCTTGATTTCAGATCATTGTGCACTGCGTCTCCTGCTCTCCAGCCCCAGAGTACCGTGTACCCAGTAATTCCCTCTGCAATCTGGGTTAGATTACTGAATGTGCCTCCTGGTTTTGGTTTATCCACAGTTGAAAGCTGCAAGTACGGAGGGTAAAAGAAGCTCTTTAACAAGAGCAACCCGATTTTTATGGTTGCCTGTAAAAGATACTCCCTTTTTTCTAAACATGCCTTTATTTATTTATTTATTTATGTTTTCAAAAAAAGAATGGATCAAAACTGTACATTACCCTACGAATAAAAAGGGCAACTTTGAAGTGCTCACTACGGAGAGAAAGCATCCTGCTGTTGTAGCGTCTCTGTGGTGTTACTCCACTCCTTCGCAGTGTTTGAAGTTATGATCCTGCAAAATGCTTCTGTGCCTGAGCAAGTCATTTTACGTGAACAGCCAAGCAAGAACGGAGGGGCAGTGGTGAAGATGACTTCTGGGAATCAGATCATTTGGGTTTAAACTTTGCAGGATGGAGCTGTTGGTTGTTTACCAAAAATATCAGTATTTTGGAATCATGTTTTGTTCTGTTTGGGAGCTGTTTAAAATAAACCCCCAGTTTTTACCCTGCCTCCCCCTTCTGGTATGATTGGCTGTGATACACACCACACTTTTCTTGATCATTGATTTCCCTGTATTACTCACAAGGCAGAGTATTTGCATTCAGGCGGTGCTTCTTAGAGGCATTTGTGGTCTGCTCTGCAGAGACTGACTGTACCTTAAGGTATGGAGTCCATTTTGCAATGTTTTACTGAGATTCTGTGGTTTTGGTTCTGTTTTGTTGGATTTCATGCTACAGTACTACCATTTTGAAAGTAAAATAATTAATGTCAATGGGAAAGAAACTCCTGGGAAAGCAAGCTTTAGTGGTGACAAAAGAGTAATCTATAAAGATGTCAAATATCTCAGGTTTTTTCATGCCACTGATTACGGCTGTTACCAGGAACCACTTCTCCTTTTCATTCTTTTCCAGTTTCGTTCGTGTACCTAATTCATGACTCAGTAGAAATGACGAGATTTATCCTGGTAGTTGTGCCACTGGGAAATCATCCAAATGGCCCAGACCTTTGCAGTAACCACTTCAGATATTAACTTACAGTGAGCAAAACAATAAGCTGTTCGGGTTGCAGGAGCTGGCTATTTCCCTGTTGAGAGCATTTTGTATTCGGACAAGGAGAAAATGGGTTGGCTTTGTTTTTTAACTTTTTAGCTGTAGCTGCTTTCAGCAATTGTACAACCAGTTTATTGAAATGCATTAATTTTCTTCTGCTGCTCAGGAGGAGGGTTAAATCTTGCCATTTCAAACCCCTGTGACTGTTCCCTTGGTTAGCAGGACAGTCCTTGCATAAGGAACAGCTTATACTGTTGGGATCTTAAGCAAAAGCATATGTTTTGGGTATATGACTTATTAGGTGTATTGACTGGTCTTGGGCCTGATTCTGCCATTTGCTTTCAAATACCTTGTCTGTGTTCACCTGAGTTATCCCGCTGGAGCAAATGGGGCTGCCTAGACCTGATAAATATTATATGGGCTGATAAAGGAACAGGGAATGGGCTCACTGAACTCTAAACTGTCTCAATTTTATATAGAGCTGTAGTAATAAATTGTTCTTCTTTCTACTGTAGTTCTCTTGCTTGCTGTGTTTGAGCTCTCTGCTACAAAAAGGAATTTAAATCTTTATTTGAATAGAACTTGCAGTTATAGAACTCCTTATTTCATGGTCTGATTTATTATTATTATTCCTATTTTTTTTTTATTTTTTGTAAGAGGAGAACGGAGAATAAACTGCAGGTTGCAAAATGTGTGCATAACGTCATTTGGGATAAATTGTAACTGTCCTCTCCTCCCTTAAACTGGCAAAAAAGCTTATTTGTCTTGAATAGGAAAATAACTTTGAGTTACTTGCTGCTGAAGGAAGTTCTTCTAATGATTCGTGTTGCAAAATCAGAGTCACGGAGTTGAAGATGACTCTTTCATGGGTTTAATTTAAAAAAGCTTGCGTTGTACATAATAGTGAAATTCTTTGTTATTTAGGCATTGGTGCTACAGAATATTTAGTAAATAGAAACCAGATTTAATGATTGACCTGTTATATAAAGGCATTTAGCACTTGTAAAAGCAAAAAAACCATTAACATGTGGTATGAAAATGGAAATTATCATATACTCTGCTAAATGGGATGAGAAGAAAAATAACCTTTTCTTCTTCTTATAAGTTTAAAATCTGAATCTTGCAAATCCTTCAGTATGTGCATTAATTTGTTCCTGACAATATTGTCATCGACTCCACGTAGTTTTGAGTTAGTATATTCCAAATTATGTATTCAACTATGCCTAAATGATTATTCGTGTGTCAGAGTTCAAGCCTGTATACACAGAAGCTGTTAAGTGTATGCTGAGGATTTTGACCACATTTGACGATATATTCTGGAAGTGCTTCAAGATTCTATTTAGTAAAACTGTTACATGTAAAGTGAGTGTCTTTTGGGAGATGGTACTTCATCGTTGCAACAAAGTGCTGGGTTTGGTTTTGTTTACTTCCAGTGAGCAAAGCTTCTTAGCACGTTGGATAAGAGGGACAACATTTTACTCTAAACGATTAATATCAGAAGGAATCTTGTCCACTAACTTTAGCCGGGTCAGTATTTCAGTTCTAATATTACCAAAAGTTCTTTATCCTATGTACAGGGAAAAGCTTGTAGAACAAATAACAAGCTTGTATTAAATCCATCTGTAAGCTAGGAAGTGGAATAACGTATAGACTATGAAGAGAAATCTGTAGTACTGTGAATGTAATTTCCATGTCCAGCACCATCATTACCATTATTCTAGAAACATGAACCTCAGCTGTTTAGTGATTTTGGAACTGTTGAAGATGTCGGTGGCAGGGTAATGGGAGAGGGAATATAGACGTAAACCGCTCCATTTTGCACTCCAGGTTTCTACGTCAACAGGCTTGAACAAGACATGCAATCTAGTAATCATTTCACAGTGCATGAAGCTGCTTTTAATAGTTTGTTGTTTTCTCTTTGCCTTTTTAACTCAGCCACCTAACTTTGTTTCCCAGCCTACTGATGTAACTCAAAGAATACAGGGTTCCAAAGCAAGGGCAGTGCTCTCTAACTGTGGTACAGCATAATCTTGCCCTACAAATGTGCAAACAATAGCAAAAGTATGTGTTTCTGAATATGCCACAGCTGTTACCCTCTCCTGAGAGCAGGGAGCGTTACAATGACATAGCCAGAATGACCAGTTAAAACCACTCATGCCTTTTTATTGCGTTTAAATGGGGCATGTAAAAAAGCTAGGGCCGGTTCTTCCGTTCAGATAAGTATCAGTTCAGACTACTGCAGTACTGCCTTTCTGCACAGGCTTTGAAGAATAGAGGCAAAGAATTCCCCTTTTTCCCTTCCCCTCCTATTACATTTCTGGCACCCAGTATGTGAAATCTCGGTTGGAACCTGGAACTTTCTGTTCTCACAATCTCTGCGCTTCACCAGTAACCTGGAACAAGGACTGTTTTTTGTTTTCCTTTTAAATTGCTGTCATTACTTTGGATGTATTAAATGATTGTTAATGATTAAGGTTATTTGTAGAAAGGGGACAACTTCAAAAACAGATGACACATTACCAGAGCTGCAGTAAGAAATAGATCCAAATTCTTTGTGCTAGGTTATTTTGAGGGTTTAAGCATTGAGGAATTATAAGGTTGATCTCAGTCAGATAGTCACAAAGTGCCTAAGTGCTATCTTTTTTTTTTGCCTTAAGCAATTGTTTTGCTTTAAATCTAATAATCATGTCTGACTTTTCTGCCATTACGTCTGAATGTAGATGTGATTGTTTTGCATAAAGAGCACTGTAATTGAATCTACCTGATCGAATTTATTCTAAGGGTTAAATGAATGCAAACCATCTGAAACTGCCTTTAATTCCGGCATTTACGTCTGTGATAAGAGGGCTTTGTGAGTTGTCAGTTGGTTTAGAATGCAAATACATTCTTATGTGTTTGTTTGCATATTTAGCCAGAGGGGTAAATGACACTAAGGCGACATCATCAAATACTGTCAAACTAGCTTTCTTAATACAGATGTCCATTGTTGGTTTAAGTGCTTAAGGGGTTGGTGGTTTGGTTTATTTTGGAACTTGCTGAACTATATGAAGTGTGTCTCCAGGGACCTGGTATTTTAATGCCTAGTAGAAGGTTGTATAACAGTAGATGATGTATTTTGCCTTCCAATGCTGTAAGTAAATTATATGTGTTAGCTTGGGAAAGTGTATCTGAGGTGTAAATCAAAGGCTAATATAAGACAAAAAAAAGAGGTAGTGATGTTTTGTAACTGATTAGGTTTTTATTAATTGATCTATAACCAAGAGCTGTAAGAGCAATAATGTTAAAATGAGACACTTCCCAAGAGGAGGTAGATGGTCTAGGGTTATTTAAAATACGTGCTGTGATTCACTGCTTTTATACAATTTGCTGTGGTGAAGTCACTTAAATAGTGAAGTCAACAATCCCCTGGGCAAAGAAAGATAATGTAGTTTTAAGTGTACTGTAAAAAATGAAATTTGATAGCTTCAACTCTATAATCCTATCTAGGTTTTGGTTGTATTAAAAGGAGAATAGATACATGTGTCAGTTTTGGAGCATCATCTTTTACTTTTAGTTTTTTTAAGGCTGATAAATGTGCTTCAAACAAGCAACACACCAGTTTATTAATGTGAATGTTTTGCTAAATGCTACATGCTTAACGTAATCCCCATTCCTTTATAATAAGTTTAAATATTAATTCTTTGGAATGCTAGATGCCTAAAGCTAGATAGAAATGCTGTGCAGTTTCAGATATCTAGGAGTGGGCTTGTGAAACAGGATATTTAACTGGGAGAGATGAGTAGCACATTTCAGAGTTATTAGGGCAGAACAACAATGCAAGAGGATGACTTAGAAAAAAGCAATAAAATTGTTTTCTGTGCATAAGGCTTAAATACCTTAGAGTTATTTATTGAAACACAGTGGTAGATTTCCTACGTATGTAGGTTCTTGATTGCATTTTTTATTATCATTTTGTTTAACTTATTTTTAGCCGCCCGCCCCTCTCTAAAGCAGCTGGCTTTGATTTAACCTGAATCCTTCTCTTAGAGTAAATGATCACTCACTTACGAAGGCTGTGTTATGCTCTTTGATGGAACATCTCTGTCGGGGCAGACGCTTGAGAGGGAAGACTAAATAGGATAGGAAGGGTGCTCGAGGAAAGCAGCAGTTTGCATTCAGAAGGACTCACTTTAAACCAGCTCTTGCTTACTGTTCCTTATGTAAGTAAGTCTTGCCGGCCTCCCAGCTGCCATCTGTGCTGGACAGAGAAGAGAGAGTTAAAGTGAGAGCAGATAAAAGAGGAAATTTGTGTTTTATTACCCAGTATTTTCTGGGAAAATCCCAGAAAGAATTTAACATGAGATTTCATAACTCTTGCTTTTCCCTGCTGCTCCTGCTGAGATTGCAGGGAGTTGTAGCATTGACTTCAGGAAGAGGCCAGTACTGAATGGTTTTGAAAATCCCATCCATGCTTTTGAGGCACAGAGAAGAAGATCCAAGTGTTAAACTCTGTCCTGAAGTGAGAAGTGCACAAGCTGAAGCAGCACAATAGCTCGGATGCCAAACTCAGTTGGAACTGTATGTTTTCCTTTAATTTTTCTTTCTGTTCAATACTGTGCATGGGTCTAAAGCTGGTGTGATCTGCCATTGTACACAGAACAGGCAAAAGTGGTGAAGGATTTGTCAGCAGCTGATGTGGCCAAGTACGTAAACGTTTTGGATGAAAAGAGTTAGGGTGCTTGAACCCTATTCTATGCATGTATCATTTGGGGGCAAATCTGTGTACTGTTCATGATGTTTCTGCTGCAGGAGTGGAATGGAGTAAGGTGTAGAGAAAGATAAGTCAGTTTTGGAGCCAGCAGCAGTGCAGTTGTTTCAGCACAGCATCAGTGCCAGCTTCATTTTCTATGCTGAGGGCCAGAGTTTGTTAGTTCAGGTGCAGTGTTTGGGTGATGTGGCTGTGCTCTGTCTGAGATCTGATCTGGTGGTGGAGCAGGATGCTGTGCTGCATCATGTGGCTGTATCTGCCTAGGATGGCACTTGCTTGAGCATGCCTGCACAGTGTGTGTGTGGACCAGATTTCTCTCTGCTACGTGAAATACGTGGTGCTTGGCCTTGTTGGTAAGTCCCCTTGAGTGTGAGTGGTGAAAAGTGCAAAATACATATTTGTTATCTTTGGGAGAGTAAGCTTTTTAATGGAACATTTTAGTCTGGCTTCTTACTGCTTGGCATCTGGTTTACACTGCTAGTTGCAGAATTGTTGCTGAGGAACAAATTCTCCCATTTATTTTAGTGCTTGACAGGCCGAGGTGAGAGAAAGGAGGCTACTTTAAGGGAACTGCGTTGGAAATAACCAATAATACGTACCTGTTAGGAGGCAAATCTTCCTTGCTGGTTTGCTGGAGGAAGCACCTTCAGGTTTGCCCTTGACTTCCAGCAGATGGAAGTCTCTTATGGCTGTTCTTGAGGTGCAAATCATCTGATGGAATGCGTGCTGCCTGGGCTTGACGTGCAGGTAGCTACTGCAAGGTTCCTAAGATCTCTGCAAAACCGATTTTGCAGCTGAGACTGTCTCCCAGGACTTGAAGATGAAAAATCCACACTAAATTCCTCTTTTCTGGATATCTGATTGTTGTAAGCTTCAGCTTCCTTGAAGTCATCAGAGCTGGTTTATGTTCAACTGGAACTCAGCTGGCTTCATTCCATCATCCCTAGCTCTGGTGCAAACCTGAAGTGACGCCATTGTAAAACCAAGAGTGCATAAAAAGGATGCAGGCTTGAGCCCTGGAAGTTTGTCCTCTAAGTGTGGACTCGGTTCACTTGGCAAAAGAAAGAGATGTCTCACGCTTTTCATCTAAACAGTTTTGCTTCTTATTTCTCCTTTGCCAACTCACCACAAATTGGCTTATATTCTTTTTTTTTGAGTTCCTGAGCTATTTGGTAAGGCTCGCTGACTTGTATTTTTGTGGGGGTAAGCTACAAACTATGTGTGTAAATGGGTCTCTTTTCAAAACAAAGATCCGCAAGCATTTCAGCATCGCTCTGGTTTCAATGGGTATGCAGGAAATGTAAGGGGATGCTTACCCCTAGAGCCCGCTTGCTTTTTGCCTGTCCTTGAGTCTCAATAAGTTATTCTTTCTATGCTCTCAGCCTCTTGGCCTCTGTCTTCTACTTTGTGCAACTTTGCTCTTGGCTTATTTTTAAATATATGGAAAGGGTTGTAACTTATTTGAATTGTAGGCTGAATATGTGGAAGTATGGCAACTGGTGTAAATAGCTTTTGGGTCTGTTGAATGTGTAAATACTTAAACCCTGTCAGGGTGATTTGGCTGGATTTCATTGGAAACATTATATGAGACCTCCTTTCTCTTACTGCATCCTGTCGGAAGCTGTTGGGCAGAGATTACTGGCATGAACAGTCTGACTGCTTTGTCAAAATTCACTTTTATGCCTATTTGCTTGTAAGTTTGCCACTTCCACAAATACTTTTACAAGTCTGTATATTTTGGAAGATTAGTCATAGAAAGCCAATATAAAGGGGACCAAACTCTAGAAGGGGAAAGCAAACGAGTGCAGTGAGTAATCATCAGCAGTGTTTTGAGCCCAAATGTATGGTGGCATCACCTAGGTGGACAGTTTATTTGGCAGGTTTGAGAGATGACACTGCTGTTTTGCAGAAGCTTGCTGCTTCACCGATACCAGGGTTAAGTCTCAAAATGGGACTAACCTGCTTAGGGCACTTTCCTTGCTAAGGGTTAGTGTTAATACCAACCACAGAAGTTTCATTAGCTGCTGGAGAAGTTGCTGGAGACTTGAAAATAAAGAACAGTAAATAGTGGAGATGATAAAGATGTTTTAGTCATGGGGTAGATGCTTTGGCAGCAAGCACTCTGAAGGGACAGGGAGGGTTTCAGAGCCTAAGATAACAGGAGGCTTGAGAGGAAACCTGGTGAAAAATAGCCTTGTAACCAGCTAGCATTTAGGTAAAAAAGAATTATGATACTAACTACCACTAGAGAATACAGTCTGGAAAATTGGATGCTGCCTCCAATGTGAAGGCTCCTGGCTACAGCATTTGCTAGTCTGATGAGCAACCCAGATTTATGATATGAGCTAGATATGAGAAGGACCTTCTAAACTTGTTATCCACTGATTCACAGATGGGAGTTATCGTATGTGTATATGGTGCACGTGCGCTCGTTCTTCAGAGGCACCAGTCTTGTTCTGCTGGTATGGAAGAAAATCTCCTATTGCACTTTCTGAAGTGAGTGTGACTGTAGGTTTTCTCTGTTGATATTCAGTATGTTGTGGCATGCCCCTGATGCTCAGCACCTTTTGTCTCCTCTACATTAGTTTGTTCCTCCACAAGGATTGTGTGAGCTCAACACTAGGAAATGCATTAACTAGGATTATACTTAGCTTTTGACATATGATGCCCAAGCGGGCTGCGAGTTGTTTGTCACTGGAGTTTTTAAAGACAGTAATGGGTGGAAATCCTACTATGAGATATAACTCTTTGGGCCCAACTGTCTTTCCTGTGACATTTTTAATTCCTTCACGCAACTGCTTAGGCACTGTAAAGTTACAAGAGGTCTCTCAAACTGTAATACTCTAGGCTCCTATCATCTCTGACTGAGTGAACAAAGTTCAGATCCCTCCATGCCTAATGTTGGTGTTTCTAGTCACTCATGTGTGTCAAGAAAACACTGAGAAGGCACACAGTAAAAACCAGACTGAGTGAAGAGCTCGAAGAGAAGCAGTTGGGAGAGCCAGTGGTGGGACAACTGGGCATGGAAAATGATTGATTTTTATGTGCAAAGCAGTTGTGAAACGTTCTGTGGCATTCTGGGGACATGCCATTGCTAACAAATGATTGCCTGTTGGGGATAGAAAATGCCAACCATTGTTCTGAAGAAGGAAATAGCCTTATTGATACTGAATTAGGCTCACATTGAACTATTATTCATTCGCAATGCATCTTGTTTTCCAAACATGAAAATTAACTGACCGTGCTGAAGTCCTCCAGCAATATTGGCCTTTAGTTGTTGGTCATACCTAGATCCTGATGGTCCAGGTGGAGTTTAGACTATTTAGAATTGGGGATGTATTGTGGCAGAAATCTGTGTTAAGAGAGCAGCTGAAGGAAGCTGTTCTGCTTCTTAAAAGAGCTCACCAAGCTTGTTCTTGTTTTATAACAAGCCTGAGAGTGAGGCTGGCAGAGATAGATGTGTTGGTAAATTGGACTTAAGCTTCTGGAATACATTTTGGATTGTCGCATGCAGTGTTGATGGCAGGAAAATAGGGGTATAGAAAACAATAATGTTGCCTTTTGAATGGGGTAAAAACTGGTTTATCTTTAGGAATTGAGACACTCATCATACAAGTATATTTTGTACAGTGACAGTATTATGTATACAACTCTGAAAGTCTGAGTTTGTTCCCAGTGTTGTCTAATAGTTTCTACTGAAATCTTAGCAGAAAATAGAAACCCACTGCCAGTAAAGTTTGTCTGTGGCTTCAGATAAAGGGGGTAATAAAGAAAAATTAGGAAGTGACTGGCATGTGACGTGGATTTCTTAAGCAATGATCAGCAACTGGGCAGCGAATATTTTCATACAGTCCAACACATGTACCTGGGCATGGAGGATCTAAACTGTTTTTATAGATGGGAGGCTGCATGTCCTGGAAAGTAGTGATGCTAAAAGGGATCAGGATGTCATTCATATTCAGTTGGTGTGAGAATATTAATTTCTAATGAAGTACAAAGTGATGTGATACCTCCCTATAGTTTTTAATAACACGATCTTATCTTTCTCTTAAGCATCACTCTTAGATTAATGCTCAGATTTTCTTAACTTTGAAAACTCCAAGGATTTGGAGAAGAACTGGAAGATGCTAAACCCATATATTGCACTCATGGACTAATGGAAGAGTAGAGGCAATCTGATCTGTTCTGGAGGTGCACCAGAGAAAATAGGTGGTACTTGACGGTTCTCTTGGGTGTAGATAAATGCCAAATGGCATCTCATGGCTGGAAACTGAGGCAGATCAAACAAGAAGGAAGATGCCTGTCCTTGACTGCAGGGGGTTAATTAAACCCTGGCATAGCTTAGCAAAGGATGTGATAAATCCTCTGGTACTAGGGGCTGCTGAGCTGAGTTTAGGTGTTCTTTTGAAAGAAATTATTCTTTTCAACCATGGGCAATTTCATTCAATGATAGAATCACTAGATGAACAAGCTGGACCATTCCAATGGTTTCCACTTGCAATGTGTAGAAGATTCCAGGCCATGTCCTGCTGCCAGACCTGGTGCTGCTCTTCCTTCATTTGCCCTCTGCATTGCAATCCTTGGGCCTAGCATCCATACTGAGGCCAAATTCGGGGCCTCATTCTGGATTTCATGACAAAGAGTAGGGGCAGGCTGGGGAAGGAGGAGTATTACCACACTACAATCACACAGTTTGACAGTAATTATGGTAAGGCAATCACTAGCAACTAATGTTTGCTCCAGATCCGCCCTTTATTTCCTCTTGTTATGTCTCTGTCTTCAGCAAACAGCACCACTCCTCCTTGACTAG